TATATACATGTATATATATATATATGTGTATATACTCGTACCATTATCGACGAACACTGCCAAAAAAATGGCTTAACGCGACGTCATGTATTTATGTAAGGAACATGTGCATTAGAGCAAGCAAGACTGTTGCCCCGTACGAACGTCGATCAATCTAACGGTATGGCATTCAACGACAGTCACTCATCGGAAGACTAGATCGCGGGCGGACGCGTTTGAAGTGAAGTATAAACAGAGGTCGTGTCTTTCAAAACCACTTGCATGACGAATTCTGACATATTCTACAAACAGATCCCAATATTCGTATCGGACACAGGAATATAGTAAAAGCAAATACAATGTCGCATGTAAATGCCCAAGACTCTTCTTCCTGTCACGCGCAGACAACAGTAGACACGCGCCACACGAGGCGACCCTAGAGTCATTCCTGCGCCACCGACAATAGTCGACAACTGTCGGAGAAAGCTTACACAGTGGCGGCGAACGCAAATTAGCGAGACTTGCTTTGTGTCCCGCCAATCCCCAAGGAATAGCCCGCAGCAGGCACGGGGAAACATTGTTGTTAAGTTATTCGCGTCAAACATCTAATAAGCCAACGAGCAACGACAACGAGTTAAAGGAATACATGGTGCCTGCGTGGATGCAGATATGATTGTGCGACACAGAACAAAGCCATGATCTTGTCACGGCACATTGGACACCATCTCTATGACATTGATCGCAGAAATCTGCATATCATGTACAGCTTTATGCAATGTGGCAATTTTTATTCGTAATTAACATTCGTGCCATATGTCGTTTTATATTGATAACAAGGAAAACAGAATTTTAACTATAGGTGCTATTCTTGTGTTGCTAGATAGCGTGATTGGTGGCTGTAATCGTGTTCTATAGGCGATCAGAGGCAATTCAGCCGTAGTGCACTTATATATAGATGATGTTTTTTGATAATTTTGCTGTATAATTTAAGAGCCGATACTAATTTATTAAAAACAGGACTCGCTTTGCTTTACGTATAGGTCTTGCAATATTACGGAGATACAATCATCCTTACACAGAATAGTTTCTTTAGTTTCCATAGTTATTTTTAAAAAACTCATTGGAAGAGACTTTGTAGTTTATCGTTGTATACGTACGTATGTTATATACGTCTCGTAAAGATATTGTAAACTCTACGTATCTCTATTAGGGGCTCTATTAGGAATATGTACGTATTGAGTGTGTGACACGGGTTATTCCTACAATTACACTAATTGTATATAGCTATTAGGTATCATATATTTAGCTCCTTGCATCAGTTTTTATGTTTTATTTGTGCGGAATGATCATTCACAGCAAGGCCACGACATTAGGCAATAAATATGTAACAAATATTTAATATTATATAATACATGTATACATCATCATCAACCCATATATATATATTTATACCCGTATCATTATCGACGGACACGGCCAATAAAATGTCATAACACGAGCATCATGTATAATGTAATGAACGTGTGCACTAGCGCAAGAAAGACTGTCGCCGTGTCGCGAGGTTTGATATATATATATATATATATATGTAACGTTTTTCCCCGTCACGCGGGACGCTCCCACTGTTCGACCACTGGAAGAGTCAACACAAGAACAAACAACACAACTCAAATGTAAAAGTGTTCACGCCGGGAGTAGGCCCGGGGCTTTTATTCTGCCCTAGTCAACAGACCGGGGTGAGCATAAAAACGGTGCAATACTCCTCGCAGCGTAGCGCCCGAGTATAATAAACAGATGCAACTAGGCACTAGGCCTTACCAGGACGATCCTCTGTAGGGAGATGCCATCTCCGTGCAGCGGTCGTCGGCGGTGGTCGCAGTGCTGTACCTTCCGTTGTGTTCTCCTCCTCGCGGCAGCTCTTCCCTCAGCTCGGGGCCGGCTGACTAGCTACGGACTGACTGACGGTGCTCTGGAGAGCGCAGTATATATACGCCTCGGAGCGTGTGTACGGCTTCCACGCACTTCAATCATACGTCAAGAAGCGGCAGCCAAGCACGTCGGCATCACACGTGACACGCACATCAGCTTCAGTGTCACGAGTATGGCACACTACAAGCCCGTGTCGAGCACGTGTACACTGTCACAGCATGCGGGGATTCGGCCTACATCGAAGCCCACATCACCCAAGGACGCTGGGCAGACTGCAGGGTGTAGAACTCGGGGATGTGACGCTGCGACAGACCGAAATTCGTTACATATAAGGAGAGAGCGAGAGGTAGATAGAGACAGCAGATAGTGAAGGCACATAGCAAGGCACGAAGGGTCGTTGCCGTAACAGGTACTACAGATATGTATCCGAGGTAGTTTTAGGTTGTTTAGTAATATGTTTATATTTTTATATGAGGTATGTTTAGGGCTAGGGTTAGGGTTAGAGTTAGGGTTAGGGTTAGGATTAGGGTTAGTGTTAGGGTTAGGGTACACTTATGTAGTACAAGTCTGGTACACTTTGTGTATACATATATGTACCTCGGGTACATATCTGTAGTACCTGTTACGACAACGACCCCTTGAGCCATAGCAAGAGACAGCGAGAGGGCAGAAGAAAACGAGAGACCGACGGAGATGTATGAGCGAAGCATATAATAAAAGTCACCGTGTCTACACCACACCACCGCTGCTGCTGCTGCTGCTGCTGCTGCAGATTAATTTGAGGCCGTGCAAAAGACATCGAATAGCTAAACCCCAACGATAACAGCAACTACACAAAACAACATTTGGTGGGGGATTCCGATCCAACGTACGCTGAGCTCAACCGCATGTATTAACGGTCCGGTCTATTTACGGTCAGTACCACCAGCCCATAACTTGTATTAAAACCAGGCCTACCATCCCATACTTGATTCCTAAGGATTTACTTTCACCATTATACAACGCGAGGGCGCATTCGGTGTTAGATTTGTTATATAGGTGTTTGATGTAAATTCGTACATCCTTGATTTCTGAAGAAATCATTTTTCGATAGGGAAGGAAGGATTATTGTAATGTAGCTGCGCTTATATCATTAAGAAAAAAAGACACGTCTAAGCAGCGGAAGGTGCTGTCTTCATCTAATTAAAGCAGCCATTAATTGTGCTTTAGGTGAGATAGGCACGCTAGGTCTGATCAGGACTCCCCAGTCACAAAAACAAAGATACGACAGATCTAGGATCATGGTCCAGCCTGGCATCGAAATAGGTCAAGCGGCAATGACACTAATAATTTTCTGAGTGGTGCGTTCAAGGGCATATAATATCATATAATATTATTCGTTAAGTCAGTCAGCAAGTACATAAACGTCACGTCGATACCCCTTACATTTGTGATATCTATATACGGCACCGTTGAATTCCATTATCGTATTTCGTGTTGCATAAATGTAAATTATTCAACGCTCGGTTGTAACCGGTGGGTAACTCATCGGGGAGATGACGTCACATTTGGATTTCGATCACATTAACATTGATTGAGATTGACGTCACATTAACACATCGATTCGTACCCATATCACGGCGTGGTACCATATGAAGTAAACATTCATAAAAGTTTAATTACATACTTTAATATTTATTATTTCTTCGATTAGTTATTATTATATGCATTTAATCAAGAGCTAATAATACATGTACTATTACATGTAATAATACATGTACTATTACATGTAACAATACATGTACTATTACATGTAATAATACAAGTATATATTATTAGCTCTTGATTTAATAATTAATTATTATATAACGAGAAACTTCTTACATCAATGTGGCGATTGTGAGTAGAGAAATTTAATTTATAAAAATTGTTGCCGCTCGTCCTGGTTAGTTATCAAGGCACCAATCAACTACAGATTATCCCCCAATAACCTGCTTAGTGTATAACTTAAATTAAGAAGAGCAGTAAATAATTTTATATATACAATAAACAATAATTATTATTTCATAACATGTCATTGCGTCGTGCTTTTATTACCCATAAAAACCAGGTAATACGCAAAACTAGCATGTACATCAGGGGCGGATCCAGGGGGGGGGGTGCAGGGGGTGTTGGTTACACCAGGTTGTGTTACACCACTCATTTGGTCTAACTTTGGTAAAAGTAAGTACTACTGGCACAGGGGCGTGTACGGGAGTGGGGGGTCCAGGGGGTCCAGACCCCCCCTTCGCGTGCTCCCATGTTTGGGTTACGGTTGGACCCCTCTCTGGTACAAATCCTGTACACGCCCCTGTGGCAAGAGTAATACTGAGTATGGTTTAAGTAAGATAATATATCAGTCATTGAAATTCAAGTTGAAGTTCAAGTTTTATAGTAAATGTATGAAACGGAAAGCATATAAATTAGTACATGTAATGATTTTAATTTTCTTTTGTATAAGTGTATAAAAGTGTGTTCAATCCATATCGCAGTTTGATTTCACTGGGTACTAGTATTTTGTCGCTCTGATGGCAGTTAATTTCAAGCAAGTTGATGGTTTTTGTGGCTTTGTGGATTTTGCCTTGTACTGGAATTGTCTGTTTCATTGCTATGACAAGACTTGAAGTACAAAAATTTCGCCTCATATGCTCTGAAAATGCATAAAAAGGAGTCTGATTTTTAAAAAATTTCTGGGGGAGGCCCCTTCGACCCCCCACCGGTTTCTTCGCACCTGCGGTCCTCGCGCACGAAGCGGCGGCGCAGCCGCCGCTTCAGTTGCCCCTAACAAAATCTCAAAGTGCCCTTTCCTACCTGCACCCCCCCCCCTAGACAAAATCCTGCATCCGCCCCTGTACATACCAGTCAGTTTAAATGATAAATGAGTATCAACTCAATGTAATTGCCAAGCAACGGCAAATGTTAATAGCATATGTACTACCTAAAAAGCCAATTGATGCACAACAACATGTCTATATAACAGCAAATTATAATTAGTTGTGTTAATTTAGTATGGTGACACGCGCATGATAGCCAGACGAAATGACAATAGAAATATAAGGACAGAGCAACCGCGGGTACAAATACCAACTTGTGGTAGAGCAAGACACGGTGTCTATATATTGTGCGTATATATTACTCAATAAGAGAGTTAGATGTAATACTATGTTCTATAGAAACAAGAAAAGTAGCGGAGGAGGAAAGAGAGGAATGATTGAATGAGAAGGGGAAGCGCAAAAAGCGTGCTGCTCTTCCCACGCCTTGTCTGTCTCTCTTTCCTCCTCATGTCATGCCCTAACTCTCGTATCACTAGAAGCATATTATATTCAGATATCCTAAATTATAATAAACACATCACAAGGATATAAAGATGGATTTAATCATTTAAATGCCATTGTCACCATGCGAAACATGCATATATAATAATTACCAATTAATATGATATCGCTTGTAAGAGATACAATTACATACATTTGTCTGGGAAATCATTCAACAGCAAAGGTTGATGCAAGCTGGTCCTTCTGTGAGCATTTCGTGAGGTAATAATTTTATATCACGGGAATTCTTATATTAATATTTTATATAAATTATGCTAAAACGAATAACATATATTAATAACGAAATTAATAACCATAATGTGTAATGCTATTTTTCATTGTAACTGTATTAATAATGATTACGGGTATGCTTGCGTGTATGCTTGCGTGCATGTTTGCGTTGTTATCTTGCGTGATCTTGCGCTGTATGCGTTGCGTGTAATGCTGCGTGTATGTTTGTAATGTGTGTGTGTGTGTGCGTGTTTTTGCGCTGCCGTGTGTGTTGGGGGGGGGGTGATGTGGGTGTGTGCGTGTATGTGCGCGAGTGCGTGTGCGTGTGATTGTGTACGGGTATGTGTGTGGTTGTGGGGGAAGGGTGTATGTGTGTGTGTGTGTGTGCGTGTGTGTGTGTGTGTGCGTGTATGTACGCGCGCGTGTCCTATAAAAGATGTGCTATAGACTCTATATATTATAATAAAATATTTTAGGGTGCGAAAGTGCGAACAATACAAAATCAGACATGAAACTGTCATTGTTAAACACGCGTTCGTGTGAAAAAAAAGGGATTAAAATCGAATCCATAAGAGCTTACTTGTGTTTTACAGATAACTATCGGCGTAGGTAGGCACTATATAGTTGCGTGTAGGCGTTAACGCTACTAGCAAACACAGCGTACCACAAAATGACGATAAGAATAGCGAGGAGTACTGCGGCGATTATGGCGGCTATGTTGAGATACAAGGAGATCTTCGACGCCTGCTTTGCACCCTCCAAGTCTCCCTCATCGTAACGCGTGTTCACCTAAAAAAAGAAAAATATATGTGACACATTTACGTAGGTAGGCCTACGGTGATATTATATAATTTAACACTAAATTAATCAGTTAATTATTAACCAATAACTATCGCAGCACGATAACAATCACATTATACGAGACGAAAATTGTGGCAAACAGTAAACAGCGTTTATCTATCGTTGAGCGACTGACACATTCAACTGAATAACGAGTTGGACGCGATATTAAGCCAAAGAAGCACAGCATTAACTTAACGAGGATGACTAAGCTTCTTAAACTGAATATATGATATTTATGTGATCAGACTATCACACCACACCTGTTCTTTCTATGATAAAAGCACACAGACGATTAATTTATTAATTTTGTTTGGTAAATAATCGTTTTATATTCAATCGGCGTCAATGTTTGTCTGTGCGGCTTGCTCATTAAAACGCGAACAGAATTCGCGCTTCTACGCGTCATCCGTCTATAATACCGCGCCAATAAAACAAAATAAATGTCAACGTTTTTAATTATGAAAATCGAGATGGTAAACACTGGAAACATTTTGACAAAAAATTGACCTTTTTTTTCTCAAAAATCTCCTCTCGTATGCCAAAAAAAGTCCATTTATTCTGTTGCTTTCTAAAAAGGACAGAATGCCACTTTTGCATGAAAGTTAATATCATTTATATACAATGAAGTCAAGTTTATTCGTCTTGTTATGTTTTCCAGAAAATTTGTATAATATTGTCTAAACTAAACAATTTATTACGTAAAAATATTAAAAATATATGGCAATACAACTTAAAAATTATTTTGATTGTATATACATGTATGCGGCAAATGTTGTATAAATACGTTTATGATGAATAGCACGGGGAATTAATGATAAAGTAAACAACATAGACATATATAAGCACCAAATGCATACACAAAATTTGCATAGAATTACTCATTTCGGTTACGATCATTCTTGTTCCACATATAGCAATAGCAAGCTAGTGAAAACAAAAGCTTGTACAAAATGGCTACAAGCGCAGCTGATCGATACCATTTGATTCCGGAAGTTGTGCTTTGATTGATGCTGCGCAATATGGTAATTATATGCCTCCAATGATAATTATACACTGAGGCCTTCTGTTTAGAAATTATATAATCACCCGATAAAGACCGATGCACGTAGGGCTAAACAGTACATATGCTGTACTGAGATACTTACACACAGGGGCGGCGCCAGGGTATTTTGATAGGGGGCGAGACGGCGGGCATGCGCCGTTCGTGGCGCTTGCACGACGCAAGGGGGTGTCTGTTGGAATGGTAGAATTTTGTGAAAAATGCAGCAGAAATGGTGCGATTTGGTGCATACTTTTAAGCAAATTTTCCGATAAAAACTGTTAATGTTCAACTTATGTTAACACAAGCATGAGACAGACAACTGCTGAAAAGGGGGAAGGGGGACTTCTAGGAAGATCTTCAAATTTTTGAAAATTATAAACTCTGAGATGCAATCTAGAGCCATTTCAGGGTACTCCAATAGCTCACAACTAGCAACACTTTTTGGTGGAAAAGGAAAAAATTATGCATATAACATGGTCACTTACTGTAAAATTTTGATGGGCACTGGGGAATTCCGTCTGTGTTGAGTGTGTCCAAAGTAAATGTATTTTGTAGACATACAAGCTCTTACGTAGGGAAGCTTTTATTTAGCTACACCCTGTATAAAATGTATATAGATTTTCCAAACGTTAAAAACAATATGACACGGTTAAACCTGAGTGGTGCGACGAGGCTGTACTGCTGTTTGCATGACTAGTAAGTAATACGACGTGATTTGCAGCTACAGTGACTTATGTGTGTTAAAACTTGAGACAATTATTATTATTTACTGTATAATTCAACATGCTATATTACATAAATATTCTTAATATTATTTTAAAACAGTACATACTGATCGTTTGTTAACTACCGGTGATACTTTATTGTTTACATCCAAACGTGAAATGCGCGGGGATGTGCGAATTACTCCACAACCTAGCGCACGTAAACAGTGAGCGTGCCGCCGACCCGTGCACGTAAATAAACCCTGGCCAACACAATGTAAGGTTCACTACCACTGGCCAAAAGT